TTTTATCCAAGTCGAGTTGCAAGGCTTTGTAACATCCAAGTAAGTCGGTAGCAAGCCTATTTACTGGGATGTTATGAAGTTCTCCAACTCGACTTTGAGAATATAACAGTTGATATGAACCATACAAACGCGTACGTAAGAAGCGCGCAACATCCTTAAGTATATTTATATGGCAATTATGGCAGCATCCAAGTATATTTTGATCGAAATACATCTGTACCGTGTCAGCCGGGCTTAATAGAGAGATAACACTCTTTTGCAACCACAGTGCGATGTATACTCTTGTACATAGTAGGCACTTTTCATCATCCAGTATAAAATAATCATTGTTTAAATCCATCCTTCTCGAATCTGTGTATGTAGTAATTTATTATAAATAAATAAACCTATTGAAATGAAAATAATTGTTTTATTTTAAACTTGTGCATGTAGCGCCCTCTGGTGTTAATGCCCGGAACTAACAAAAACTAGTAGCGCCCTCTGCTGTTAATGCCCGGAACTAAAAAAGGTGGTAGCGCCCTCTGGTGGTAATGCCAGGAACTAAAAATGCTGGTAGCGCCCTCGGGTGTTAATACCCGGAACTAAAAAAAATGCTGGTAGCGCCCTCTGGTGTTAATGCCCGGAACTAAAATTGATAGTAGCGCCCTCTGGTGTTAATGCCCGAAACTAACAAAAAGAGTAGCGCCCTCTGGTGTTAATGCCCGGAACTAAAAAAATGCTGGTAGCGCCCTCTGGTGTTAATGCCCGGAACTAAAAAAAATGCTGGTAGCGTCCTCTGGTGTTAATGCCCGGAACTAAAAGGGGTAGTAGCGCCCTCTGTTGGTAATGCACGGAACTAAAAATGTTAGTAACGCCCTCTGGTGTTAATGCCCGGAACTTAAGTGCATATGTACTTTAGTTCGGTACATTGACATTAGGGGGCGCCACATAGACTAGTGAGCTTAATAAGATGTTTACTATAAAAAAAAACGAATATTAATTCATTATTTTGCGTATATTTGGAAAATAAAATTAACATTAAAGAGAGAGAATAAGGTATTAAAATTTACATTAAAGAAACAGGTATTTTTGACATGTTCTAAGAACACGTTGTAAGTTTTGCAAGTTCTAAAGCCTGGTTGACTCAGACAAAGTTACACTTGGATGCTGCCATAAAAGTATACTTATATGGATGCTGTGCCCGCCTCACTTGTAAGCTGATTCTATTTTATCAAAGTCGAATTGGAAAGCTTTGTAGGATGATATGAAGCTTTCCAACTCAACTTGGATAAAACAGTTGATACGATACAAACAGCGTACAAGTGAGATGCGCAGCATCCATAAACTGCACTTATATAGCAGCACTTGGCCCAAGTACACTTGGACGGCGTCAACCCGCCTTAGTGCGGTGTTACACTATG